CCTATCACTCGGCGTGGTCCCACCGCTCTCACTCGGCTACGCCGCTGCCTGGCGGCGTAACGATGACGGCGATGGAAACCCCCGCAGGAGATCTTCCACGTGGCCGGACAACGGAGAGGGAGGTCGGCGAGCAGCGACACAGCCAGGACCCACGACCCCCAGGACCCCACACGAACCCCGAGCCCCGGGTCCGCTCCCCCTTATATCCCCCCAGGCGTGGCTAGGCCCCGCCTCTGGCCACGCCCTCTCGTGGAACCTTCGAGTAGGGTCCCGGAGTATCTCGGCTAACCCCACCTGTTACCTTTGCCCCAGATACACCTCCTTCTCTGATTGGTTGTTACTCTAACCATGCCCGTACCCGTGCTTCCCTTTCCCAGCCAGCAGATGTCACCCTGTCATTACACTAGTACAGCACTACGCCGGTGTGTTGGAGAGCAAAGCCACAACATTTACAATCTGAGTACGACGTTTAGCCAGTAATTACAACCAGCTTCATCATGCGACAGCCAGATTTGTGGAGAAATCCTCCTGTTTCGTTCCTTAACTAGAGGGGATGGCATCACTTGTGAGCACTTTTTGAGCGATGTGGGGTGGGGGGGGGGGATTAATGTAGTTATCCGAACGGTTAAAATAATTTTTATTTCTCCCAATTTCGATAGGTTCTCTAATTAGTCTTGGAGAGTAGTAACTGGTTTTGCACAATTTCAACATCAAAATCAATTGGAGTTTCCTTGTTTGGATGTGTGTTCTGCCACTGCCGACAGTGGTATTTGAGAGTATTTTATATTTCTTTGGTGTTCTATTCGTCTCGTGCTGATCATTCGTCCTGTTTGCCCAACGTAGCATTTGCCACAAGTGCAATTAATCCGGTACACACATTCTGTTGATAGTTTCAGTAATACGTATTTTGTACCAGATATAAATTTCATTATTTTATGTACGTGCCAAATCTGACTCAGATGTTTTGTTTTTACAAGCATCCGGCTAGTTTATCAGTTATTCCTGCAATGTACGGTATTTTTTATCGTTTTAATTACTTGGGCAGTTTCAACGCTCGTGTGATTTGATTTTGTTTTGGCATTCAGTGCCCTGTTGATTTGTGCATCATTGTAACCTTTCAATTGCAGTGCTTTTTTAACATACCCTTTGGTTATTCCGGTAAAGTCACGTAGGTATAAAATAAAATACCTACGTGACTTTACCAAAATAACCAAAGAGTATGGATCCCTGCAGTCAAGAAAACTTCTTCAAATCTAGATTCTTCTTTAACATGTTTAATTTCACTATCACCATCTGACACTGCATTCAGATAGGCGTCAGTGTGCGTTTTCTTTCGGTTAACGCTGTGTTTTTTTACCGTAACATTTAAAGGTAAGATATTTATGTTTGTCTATTTGTATGTTCATGCCAAATTCATACAGTAAACGCATTTAAAACACAAGAACATATGCACAACACCTAAGACATAATGCAATGCAAGAATGTGCAAAGCTAAGCGGTTTAAAATAATGGTGACGTAGTGATTACCCGGTGGTTTTTGAAACTCCGGCGCCCCCTTCCCCACCCTGAAGCCGCCGTAATTCCCACGGACAAAATTTTTTTTTTCGAGAGTGGAACATTGTGGGGCTGAAAGGTAGCTCGGTTTTTAACACGGGAGGGAGTCAATGGGAAAAAAAAAAACCCGATGGATCATTTAATGAGTTTTTTTTACTTACCGGGCAAATTTTTTTTCGGGGTGTACATTGCTCATTACGCGATAGACGCGCCTGTAGTTGTTTGCATGACAGGCGAACCCCAGGTTTTACATCCTCGGGAGCTGGAACATTATACAAATTAAGTGCAAAAACCAAATGGGGGGGAGGGGGCGGGGCAGAGCTTTGTGACGTCATATTTGAGGGGGGGGTCTGACTTTTTCTGACGCCGTGTGACGAGGGGGGGGGGGGGGGTCAAAAATCGTTCAAAATCGCGTGACGTCAATTATGGACGGCCCCAAAGTAAACTGCAACTAATTCAGAATGCAGTGGCACGTGTTCTGACGAAACCCGGAAAGAACACTCACGTGACACCGATTTTACGATCCCTGCACTGGCTGGCAGTCGGTCAAAGAATTTGTTTTAAAATTCTTCTCTGGGTTTTTAAGTCGCTGAGTGGTCTGGCAGCTGTTATACACTTCTTACATGCTTTTAAGATATGAACCAACAAGATCCCTCGGGTCCACTGGTACCGGTCTTTTAGTTGTCCCAAAGGCCAGGAACTATAAACCCTTGGGAGAAGCAGCTTTTAGTGTGTAGGGTCGTCGCATGTGGAACAGCCTTCCAGGGGATGTGAGGGCTTCGGATTCGTTAAGCACTTTTAAAATGAAACTTAAAAAGTAACTTTTTTTAAACTGGCTTTTAATTAGGATTTTCTTCACGTGTTCTTTTTTTTAAATCATGTCTTTGCTAGAAATTTGGTCCGTGATTTTATTGTGCGTACAATTTCACTTGCATTGTTCACGCCTGTAAAAGCACTACGCATTGAAATTGTTTTGCACTAAAATAGTGCTATATAAATAAAGTTTGAGTGATTGTCGTGACGAGGCTCCGTTCCCCCCCTTCCCTCCTCCACCCCCGCAAGGTGGAGTTTGCCCTGTAGCCGTGGAATGTCGAAGGGTCAAACATTGGGGTCATCGGTAATCTCGAGTCCCAAACGTTTGCTCGGTTTTACTCGGTAGGAATTTGGTGCGATGGTGCGCCCGCTAACAACACTTGCCCTAACCGGTCTGTTCATTGGGCATATGCGGAATCGGTGTTTACTTCTTTCTGGCAATAAAAAAACAGGAGTTGTGGATTCACCACACACAGTGCTTATGGCAAAACATGCAAACAGACGTGCTCTGATAATTAACAATACGAAAATTGCGTCGTCTTTGAAACTGATGGGCCTCGTCACAACACCAGTGTTAGACCAGAGACTAACGCCAAATGGCTAACACTGCGCGGTGTTGAATAATTATCAGATCACGTTTGCATGTTTTTCCCACAAGTTACCGTGTGGTGTGGTGAATGCAAACCTGATGCCTTGCGTGAACGTCTTAACTCAACTCCCGTTTTATTGCGAGTAAGGGCAAAGACCTCTTGTTATTTTTCATACTTTGATACTGGACAAAGATCTCATCGAGAGAGATATAGAGTCTGTGGGTGTTGTGTGGAATCTGTCTCCTTGCACGTGGCGAGAGTCGACGAGTCTCCTGTAAGTGGAATTTTGAGGTCCTCTCGGACAGGGAGAGAGTGAGGAGAGTACAGGGGGGAAGGGAAGAGACTTTCAAACAACTTTTATTGCCGCCAGCAGCAACAGCACTGGAGGCGATTCTGATATGAAACACACAAAGTCACCAGCAACACAAATAATTGCTATAAATCCACGCGCTGTGGCGCTAAATGCACCGCGCACAACACGAAATAAAAGTCACGTGGTGGTGGTGGTGGTCATCGCGCACGTCACAGTGACGAGCGAGCGCTACAGAAGGTGAACACGTGGGGTGGTGCCGTCCACGCTGCTACAGAGAGGGGCTTGTCCGGCTCCCCAGCGTTCTAAGAAGACGCGCTGCACATCGCCGACACGTGTGTGTGGTACGTGGCGTGCTCCAGCCGGAGCCGCGCCTTATCAGGCCCCTGAACACTGAAAGCAGCACAGAGCAGCCGTCAGTGTCACCTTGCAGCGTCTTTTTTCTCGTTCTGTAACACCGCCAACTTCGCCTGAGCACAGGCGAAGTTGGCGAGGTCATGGCGCTTGTTAGCCAGGTAAGGCACCACCCTCCATATACGAAGCTGCTGTTGTGGAAGGGCACCCCCAGTTTCCCGAAGATGCCCCCCAAAAGGCGGAACATTGGTTTGAGCCGCTGGCAGTGTGAGTACTGGTGGGGCAGATCCTCCTTGGCACCGCAGGAAATGCACCAAGTCTGTTACCCCTGGCGAGATTCGGCTGATGGCAACGTGCAGTGTGCCAACCTCCACTGGAGGTCACCGCAGCGTTTGGCTACGGGAGACTTTTCTAGATTTGAAGCTTTCGTGACTGCAAGGATCCACATACTCTGTGGTTATATTCTATGACTTTACCGAATAGAACCAAAGCGCACGGGAGACTTGTACATTTGAAGAGAGAGCGGGGAGAGAGGGAAAGAAATACATAGAAAACAGGGGGCACATAGACGTGGAGTAGGGAGAGAGAGAAGGAAGGGGTAAGAAGGAGGAAAAAAAAGCAAAGCATTGGGGAAAAAAAAACCAAAATGATGAATGAAGCAAAGTGCCGACTACACCGAGCATCTTGTTTCCTCTGATCGTAAAAAAAGAGAGCGTGGAGAGAGTGAAGAGAGAGCGAGGAGGGAGGAGATAGCGAGGAGAGAGAGGGGGGAGGGGGGGAGATAGCGGGGAGGGAGGAGATAGCGAGGAGAGAGAGGGGGGAGATAGCGAGGAGGGAGAGGGGGGAGGGAGGAGATAGCGAGGAGAGAGATAGGGGGGGGAGATAGCGGGGAGGTAGAGGGGAGGGAGAGGGGAGGAGATAGCGAGGAGAGAGAGGGGGGGGAGATAGCGGGGAGGGAGAGTAGATAGCGAGGAGGGAGGAGATAGCGGGGAGGGAGGAGATAGCGAGGGGAGGAGATAGCGGGGAGAGAGAGGGGGGAGGAGATAGCGAGGAGGGAGAGAAGATAGCGAGGAGATAGCGGGGAGATAGCGGGGAGGGAGAGGGGAGGAGATAGCGAGGGGAGGAGATAGCGGGGAGAGAGAGGGGAGGAGATAGCGAGGAGAGAGAGGGGAGGAGATAGCGAGAGGGGAGGAGATAGCGCGGAGAGGGGAGGAGATAGCGAGGGGAGGGGAGGAGATAGCGAGGGGAGGGGAGGAGATAGCGAGCAGTAGGCGGCGCGTTCGGCTCTCGCTCTTTTCCCGCCATGGACGTCCCTGCAGAGAGCAGCGCGGGAAACTGCGTCGTGGTGAGAGACTCCGAGACGCAATTTACCTCACGACAACGACAACACCGCGTCGCTCTTGAGACCCGCAGCATTTCACTGATTAACCAAGGACGTCGTACAGAACTGTGAGGGGGATTTAACAATTTAAAAATAAATCCTCCGAGTGGCGGCGCTTCAATGTCAACGCGGGTGCCGCCGTGTGTACAGTGCGTGCGGCGCATGAGGCGATTTATATTTAAACGTTTTATTTTTAAAATACATTCGGCTTTAGATGTGGATTTGTTTTTTTGTGCGACGCGTTAGCGAATGTTGAAGGCGGCTTTTGTTGGGGGGTGATATTTTTTTCGTTTATTACAAAAAAAAGCGACGTTTTGTGCCCGCATGCCTTAACGGATGTGTGGGGTGGTTGAGCCCATGCGCGCGCACTGTACACGTTTAATTCGCAACAAAACGGCGACTCAACGACGCAATGACCCCCCTCGCAACACCACACACCGGCAACAAACGGCGTCCCTGTGCGCGTCCTGTCGCAGTAAAACAAAAGTAAACACTCGACAGGGTGCTGTGAAAAGTGAGTGCTTGGGTACAGTACTAACACGTGACTTTCCGTAGACTCCGCTATTACAGAGAGAGATGGCAGCGGTGCGTTTGGGTTTAACGGTGACGATGCTAAAAGCTTTTTGTTAGTTTTTAAACAAAATCGTTGTTTAGACGACTGCGCTGTTTGTGGAGGGGAATGTTCAAGATCGCATTTGAATGTGGTGCAGAGAAAGAAAGAAAAAACAACAATCGCGTAATAAATTTTCCTTGAGGCGATGCCCTCGGCCTCGTCATGGCCACCTGTGCCAGTTCAAGTCGCGCCCTTTGCTTAGCGATTTCTTGTTGTTTTATCTACGTACAAGACTTACGGCAGCTGCGTCGAGTTTAAACACGTAGCAGCGGCAGTAGGGAGGCTTTCGCCACCAAGATTATCCGTCGGTAAAGGTGGAGGAGGTGTATGGGTTTCGATTTAAAGCTCGGGTGACTGCAGGGATTAATATTCTTTGGTTCTTTCGGTAAAGTCACCACCACGTAGAAGGGAAACGAGAATATATTAGCTGGGAGAGACAAATTGCGAGGAGGAGGAGGAGCAGGAGGAGAGGCCAAGTCTCGTGTGTTTATGGCCCACGTTCGTCCAACGTCGTTCCGGGTTTAAAACTGTTACCAGCCAATCTTGCGTCTGTGTTTCTGTACAGAAATAGGGGGCCACCAATATGTCGGTGGAATTAACAAACTTGGTTCTATTCGGTAAAGTCACGAAGGTTAAAAAATAAACAAAAAATCACGACGTTTCGGCCACAACACAAGTGGGCTTCATCAGGTGAAGGGACCAACCTGTCCATAGGACAGCGTTGGAGTGGAAAAAAAAATTAAAGCGCAGGTCGCCTCCTTTAAGCTGTGAGCGGGTAAAAAACCTTACGTGATTTTACCGAATAGAGCCAAAGAGTATGGATCCTTGCAGTCACGAAAGCTTAAAATCTAGAATTAACAAACCTGTCAACCCATACGGTTTAGCCGTATTCTTGTGCAGGAAAATTGCGTCTTTCGGTCCATACGGCGTACAGTCGTTTCAATATGGGAACAGAATTAATGTAATCTACTTGTGTTTCTCCCTTGTGATGGGAATTTGTTGTATGAACGTTGAGATTTATTATAAGGGCACGGGGTAATCAATAAAGTCTGAATTAGTCTTAATAAGGTAGGCACTGATAAGGGATTGACAAGTATGAATTAATAAAATTTGTAAAAAAAAATCTACATGTGGAGACTCAATCGATATTTGTTGTATCCATAATTCTCCACAACAACCACAAAATAAGTTAGTTTACTTGAACCATAGCGACATTCCAGATCCTGCCATATCATAGGACCAGACTCGAGCTAATATTTGCTATACGTCTCGTGACCCTTCACTGTTTATGATTTGGCATTTCACGAAGCGGTTGCATAATGGGGTAAAACAGGCCTGCCACAGTCACCTTGTCAGTGCTTTGAGGTCGGCAACCTTTAAAACCGATACTAATCGCCTGCTGATAATAAAACGCCAAATGTAAAGATATCCATAAAAAAACCCCATAAGATTGAAGCGCTTTTATAATATTCCATTGAAATCCTCACATTCCGTAGGCCCACCCCAATTCATCATGTCCTCAGTAGACGTATAAACAGTTGGTTACGAGTCTGTGGCAAAGTCACGATCAGGGCTATGATATGTTCACTGCTGGGCGAAGGTCTGACCCAAGTCGTCACCCTCTCTTGCGCGGCCGTCTGGCTCTCCTGCACGTGACCAGATCTCGTCCGCTCTCCGCACCTTCGCTGCGCTGGGCCTCTCCGGTTTGTTCGCTCATTTTTGGCTGCCGCTACGTCCGTCGTTGCGCTCCACCACCGGACATCAACCCTCCGAGCGACGCGTCCTGCCCACGCCAGCTTTTACCGTTCACGAGTCATTAGGTGTCCCGCGCGGCTGTTGATGGCCCTAGTTGCAATGGTGGAAATTTCTCATTCCCAAGAGCGCACTGAAATTCTTGTCCCCCGGAGGGGTTGATAATGTTTTTTTTTAAATATCTGTCGCATAACACCACGACGTGGGGATGTACATCATTGAAATTGCGTTGCGAGCTGGAAAGAGGAACACGTGGATGGGAGAACATGCACAGGTTGAGACTAAACGTCATGTGCACCACTACGAATAGTGATTTCAGTGAACGAGATGATGTCGGGGGGGGGGGGTCAGTTATTCACTCAAGTGTTCCATGGTTAGAAGTCTTGTGCCACTTTCACACTCTCTCTGGAGCATCCTTGAGTCTCCGTGTGTGCAAGAACCATCCATGGCGTCCGTGTGTTATCATATGCTCCACGACTGCCATCACCAAGGGAGTATAAATCCAGGAGGTTCAAATGCTGGCTCAGCCGTGAGGCTCTTGTTTTTTAACCTCAGCAGTTTTTCACCAAACTCTGTATCGGATGTCACGTGGCCAATGCCAGGCCCCATCCATCTGCACTCGGGTGTAAGATGGAGGCATCCTTTCATTCTCACGTGGTACCCGACTGCGGATTTAGTGCCCCTTCGACTTCACAATCGAGTGCAATGGATGACTCATAAATTAGCAGGTTCTCAGGCTATGGCCAAATCTGATGCAAAGGGTACCCACGCTTGAGAACACCTTGGGGGATCTGTCGCAAGGGATCGCTCGTGCTTGTAGGAAGGTTTTTAGTTTTTGATCTTGACTCTGGGTGGGTGGTTTGGTAGGGGCCTACACAGGAGTCTGCTTGGGGACCCTGTGAGGAAGGGGGGAGGGAATGGGGGTTGTGGTTTTGCGGTGGGGGGTGCCGGTGGTGTTTGGGCACAACATTTAAAAGGGGGCCTCTGTTTACAGCACGTCACATGTTGTATTTGTGTCGCAAATAAACTAGCAGAGTTGATGAGCGATGTTCCCAAAATGTTAACCATCCAGCAACAAACAGCACTGTCACAGTTGTAATAGGGATAAGATATCACGTCTTTTTTTAATTGAAGTAAATGTATTATTATATAAGAGCTTGGGCAATGAGACGATGGGAGAGAATTCCAAAGTGGAGCAGTGCGAGAGAAGAAGCAGAAAGATAAGTGAGGTGACCTGCACTGTGGTGGTTGAGTGACTGGGTGAGTGTGTGTGAGCGAGTTATTGAGTGGGTGAGTGAGTGTGGCGTTGTGACCTCCAGTGGAGGAGTGAATCTGGTGAGGTGGTAACTGGGTGCTGCTCCCCAGATGTGACAAGAGGTGTTACATCATCGTTCAAGCTCCTCTTTTCTATCTCTGCCTGTCCATCTGTCGCTATATTTAAAATATTCTCCCTCTTCTATCGTTTCCTAGATCATCAGAATCAGAATCTTTATTTAGACTGGAGGAATCCGATGAGCTATCATGCCCAGTATAAGGGCGGGTCAGCAAGTTGCACACAATAAAAAACGACGATGGGAGTGCAGAATAGAGAAAATGGTAAGCAAATCACAAAATAAAAAAATAAAGTAATTAAGTCGGATTTTTATATCTTAATGCAAGCTTGGGTAAGTCAGCAAAACAACAAAAATAGTCCCAGACCACACCAAGCCAACACGCAGTGTCTCGGTAAAATGGCACTTGGAAATTGAGCTATTGATGCACGGGTAAGGATGAAAGTAAAAAATCACATTGGCAAAATGAGTTTGTATCCAGCACTAATCTTCCGCTTCAGGATATATTTTGAAGGAATGTTAAACTGGGGGCTCCCATTAAACATCATACTCATCAGCTATAGTCAATCCATGGTTGAATGCAGCCTCCCCCCAACTCTCCCCTTTACCATCCTCGACATGCCAGAATGGTGAGGTATGGTCATACAACCCCACGTGACGGAACGTCCCGGATAGGTCTTTATCCAGCAGTGGTTGATAGGGGGCTGTACAGTGTACATTACAAGCCCCATTGTTACGCATATGTAATGCGGCTCCTGTGTACTTGGTATGCACCAGTGCTCTGCTTGTCTATACTTGCTGTTCTTCGTGGTGATATAATATTATACACACTGTATCCCTAGAGAGGGATCGAAAGCACCTGCGGCAAATAATTTGTGCCGCGCCGCGGTCTAAATGGCGACGCGCGCACGCACAAGGGAGGATTCCGCCCGGGTTGAGCAGCGGTCGACTGCTCCCGTGGGTGGCGCGGGAGCTGGAGAGGGGGGACAGACAGACGCGGCACGAGATGAAATGGGGCACCGCTTAAGCGCTTAACGGTGGTGGTGGTGGTGGCGGTGGCGGTGTCGAGGTGTCGTATGAAATTAAAGTGCTCCGTGCCGTGGCAGGTTTATCCGGGCCGCCAATCCGCTTAGCGCCGCGCGTCGTTTACGAGTTAATGCGGCGGCCGGCGCCGCGTGCTCGTGCTTCGTTTGTTCCCGTGTTTTTGCGATCGTTTATATTTTTTGGCCTCTTCCAAGCAGGACGGTACAAGCAGCACAATCTCCGTGTCTTGTCTCCACGCAAACAGAAAAAAAAGTGGGGTTTTTTTTTTCTTCCATCGACTTTCGCGAACAAATGTAAATGATCAAGCGGCGGCAATCGGTGACGCGAGCAAAACGGCCTGGACTTCTTCTTTGGTTCTTTCGGTAAAGTCACTGGACTTGTTTCGACCGTCCAGTCGTCTTAAAATGTGGAATTGAGGCGGTGCTAGGCGAAGAGAGGGTAGGAGTGAGACGATGCGAGTCGGCACTCCAGTTGCGTGTGGCTCGCCGGAACAGAGTAATTGAAAGGCGCCGCTTGAAAATCTTGTTTGCAGATTAGGGATACTGACCCTGGCTACGACCTCTGCAAGTTTTGCATCCCCACTCACTACATGGATGACCTGGACCGGGTGTTCATCCCACACGGACTCATCATGGACAGGTGTGCACGCGTGTGTGTGCGCGCGCTTGTGTGTGTGTGCATGTGTGCGTGCGCTTGCGTGTGTGTGTGCTTGCGCTGCAGCGATTTAACGCGTTGCACTATGAACCCGGCGACCTGAGTTTGATGCCCGCTCACCCCAGGAACGTTCCAGTGGAATCAGTTACTGGATCCTGACTTTTCCAAATCTGGGAATTGGTTCTGAAAATGGTTACCGCTTAAACCGGTTACCGCTTAAACCGGTTACCGCTTAAACCGGTTACCGCTTAACGAACCTAATCTTCATAGTGGTGCTTGCGCACTGCTAAACTTGACATTTAGGATTTCGCAGACAATAATGTGATTCATAATTTACTTCCGCGTAAGACCAAGTAAGGATTACGTGAACATTTTTTTCCGACCCGAAGATGCTTGACGCAGTTTCGAGCGAAACATCAGATCCAAATTTCGATTTAAAGCTTTCGTGACTGCAAGGATTCATCTTCTTTGGTTCTTTCGGTAAAGTCACGTAGAATGAGAATAAAATATCAATTTATTATTTTTTTCTCATTCTACGTGACTTTACCGAAAGAACCAAAGAAGACGTGAGATCCAATTGCCCAATCCGGTTGCGAGAGAATCCTTCTTCACCTCACCAGCGAGCAAGCTGGCACGTCGTTAAAACGCTTGCACACCACGTGACAGTTCAATTTGTTTGGCCGTGTCGGGTGGCGGAGGGTGGTTATTAACGACGACATCATTACGCGGCCTTCCCCGAACGCCGATTCCGAATCGCGGATGTCGCGGGTTTTGTGCGACGCTCAGCCACCCTTCGTCGTGCCCGCAGGACGGAGCGGTTGGCGCGGGACATCCTCAAGGACATGGGCGGGCACCACATCGTGGCGCTGTGCGTCCTCAAGGGCGGCTACAAGTTCTTTGCCGATCTCCTCGACTTCATCAAGGCGCTCAACCGCAACACGGAGCAGTCCATCCCGCTCACCGTCGACTTCATCCGACTCAAGAGCTACTGCGTGCGTGAGCGGGGACTCGCGCGGCGCCCAGACTTGGATCCGTCGCCGTTCCCGTCTTGTTTAGATGGCAACGGCCGCTCCCTCCCATCTTCGTGCATCGGGGCGCTTGCGTTTGTGGCCGAGCGTGACCCAGTTTCAGAGTGAAACGTCGCGTTATCTGATCGCTGCTGCGTCTGGTCGTGAGACTCGTTCCCGAACTCATCCAGTGGTTTGAGCTCAAACTAAAATAATCGGCGTGCGTCGTTAAACGCTTGTGCGCCACATGACGGCGATAATTTGTCTGGTGGTGGAGTCGATTGACCCCCCCCCCCCATTGATGGTCAGTTGAGTGTCGTGTTGGTGCCACGGCCACCTCGTCCATGGAACGGACTGCCCTCCGGCTTCATGTGATGACGAGATTAATGGGGCTGCGTGTGTCGCGCGTGTGTGCAGAACGATCAGTCGACGGGACAGATCCGGGTGATTGGCGGCGATGACTTCGGAACATTAACTGGAAAGGTAACCGATGCTCTTGGTTTTAAATGATTGCGTGGCTATCAGAGTAATGTTGCCATGACGTGCAGATATTAACATTTAGAAGTCTCCGCAGAAAGCAGTGTAACATCAACATGTTTAGGAACAGCCTCCGGAAGATGACTTTACAGAACTACTTTCGGCTCGCTCACCGTCAAGTTATTGAGCAGTTCTCACGATAAAATGTATCTCCATTAGATAGGCGACGTTCCGCTTGAAACTGGCAAGCATCATCAAGACACGACCCAGGAAGTGAGAGCATTAAAAATCCAGGAAGTCTGATTGCTAACATGACGGCAGTTCATGAAAGAGTTTTTTTGGGTTAGATCGCATAAATAAACCCGCCACCACCTGGAGAGCCGAGTAAGGTTTGTCACGTAAATAAAACATGCCAATTTGTTACTCGTTCAGCACACTGGAGAGTGAACCCACAACATTTACCATTTGAGTACTATGATATTTTGCCACAAATTGCAACCGGCCTCATCAGGCGACAGCCAGATTTGTGGAGAAATCATTCCTGTTTCGGTCTTAGGGGGGATAAATGTGATGTCTCCACTTGAGACAATCAGGTGTAAAGACCAGAGGGGGAGTTAATGTGAGAGTATGAAATTGTAAATTTGCACAACAATTAAATATATATACATACTTTAGATGATAAAGCAGAAACCATCGACTCGCTGCATTTAAGAACCTGGTTTAATAGCGAGCGGCTGATCCCCAGATTTAAACCCCGCATCTCGGAGGCGGCGCAGGCTGTCGGCCTTTTTCGAGTAACGTTGTGGGAGGTCTTAGACGTCCGCTGTGAGTGAACCGGACTGCGGGTAGTCATTCACAGATAATACCGCGCTCCACATTATTAGCCCGGCGAGGATTACATCATTCCTGTGGTTGTCGTGCAGGCATTATGAAGCCTCCTATATTTTTATTTTAATACAAATCGTGCCTCATGTGTCTGTCTCAAAACCGTCCCTCGTTTCGTATCGCTCTGCTCTGTTTAATTAGGCTTTAGTATTACGGCTGTAATAACACGGTATCTCTTTTGACTCTTGATCACGGTCGGCGCCGGGAGGAATTCCCATCTGTTTGGCCCTGATGACCTTTTGACCTTTGTGTCCGCCATAAGGTTGCCCCGCGCATACTTGTCCTTGTAAAGCGACACGCACAGCGTTTTTGAGCACTGCTTATTATTTTAAGGTTGGTCACCACTGCGCTGCATGCAGTGTGCGGAAGCTGCACTGTTAACCTATTTTGCGTGGATTTTTTTTGTGTTTCAGAATGTGCTCATCGTTGAGGTGAGTGCCGTTTGGTTTTCGATCGGTGGGTAATATAAACTTGGCGGTTAGGACACCGACTCGGTAATCCCCAGCTCAGGTTCGCATGTCTCGCCGGGAATCGAATCGGCTCTTAATGTCCCCCGTGCAGTGGATAAAATTGAGAACCTTTTTGTGGGAAGCTGTCGGCGGAGCGGTCGGGCCCCTGTTATGGAGCTGGGAGCAATGCGCTGGGCGTACGTGGCATTGCATCGTGTCGCACAGCTTAGGTAGTGAAAAGGGTTTAAGCCTGTTGATGTTGCCGTCTTGCGCCTCTTTGGAGAGTCTTTAACTTCGTCACAGCCTGCTAGCCGGGCGACGGTGGCCGCGTGCGTGGTGCTGTACTCCAGCGCTACGGAGGCAAGAGCGGGTTGGTGGGTCGCACGAATTTTTCCCGCGGGCGCCGAGGAGAAGCCGTAACGACCCTGGCTCGCCCAAGGGAAGGCGGTACAGCGACGTGCGGGACAATATGTTGCCCCTTCGCACGCTTGGGTTTTCTCCAGGCACTCCGATTCCCTTCCACTTGTGTTAATACTAATTAATTGGCAGAAAAAAAACATCTGAGTATACATTGGGACTCTCGATTATCCACGTGCGGTTTATCCGATTTGCGGATTAACCGCACACCTGAGATTTTGACATAAATACCTAACTCATGGATTATTCCCTGAAGGCCAAATTAATAATCTAAAAACAGTTGTACATTTCTATTCTTGGAATGTTTATTACAAGTCACGTGCTTAAACCGAACAAATATGTTGCTCTGGTGAATCGGAAATCTACGTGGTCACCTCTACAATACAGTAATTGTCATATCTTTACAACAGTGTGTGGGGTTTGATTGACGTTGATTGGCGTGGCTCTGCTATCCACTTAGAGTGCCGAGTCTTCTGCGTGGAAGCAGGAAAGTGTTATCACTGAGCAACTCAGTTTTCTTAACTTAAACATAATTTATGCCTATATTAGTGGTTTTCGGCATAGAGATCTGCAGAAAATGGATATCTTTGGATTATCCGTTATTCTGCGGCCATCCCCCCCCCATCATAAGCGCGGATAATCGAGAGTCTTCGGTATAGAGGACCGCAGAGTTTGGGCAGTTGTTGGTAGCATTGGCTCACCGCTTGGCTGCCGCCATCCTGCTCGTTTCTCTGGTTCCTCAGTGATTGTGAGCTGCAGTTTGCACGAACGACGACGCTGTACGTAGAATTACACGTGATTGTTACGGTTATTGTTGCAGCCCAGAATTTTTGAGGTGTGTCTGTTCTGTTTTTGCAGGACATCATTGACACAGGCAGGACCATGCAGACACTGTTGAGCATGCTGAAGGACTACAAGCCCAACATGGTGAAGGTGGCCAGGTTGGTGCGCGCGCAAGTGTGTGTGTGTCGGTGTGTCAGGTGGGGAACGGTGGGGCAGTGGTTTGCACACTGCTACGAACCCGGCGACCCAAGTTCGATTCCTGTTTGCGGCCAACACCAGTGACGAATTTCTAAACCGTGGTGCTGGCCACCCACCCTCTCGAGTGCCGTAACGAGCACCTATGCCGGCCTGCATAGGTGCTCGCTTAACAGCACTTGCCCCCCCAACAGTCTGTCGAGGCTATTCGGGGAATCTTTGTCTTTTTCGTTCCTTATTAAAACCCTGCCAGTTTTGAGTACCGATCCGGTTGAGCGCGTCGCTGTGGTCCGTGCGTGCGTCTCGCAGACGGACTTCGAAACGAGCGATGTTAGTTGCGCATCCACCCGCTCAGATGCGGGAGCCGATGGTCGCAGGCGCAAGGTTCGCGATTTTGGCCGCACGGTGGATGACTCGTCGGGCCTGAACCTGCGTTGACGCTTGCGGTGCCGCGTTGTGGCGCGTTGTGCTGTCTCGGCAGTTTGCTGGTAAAGCGGACGCCGCGCAGCGTGGGATACCGCCCGGATTGTGAGTAGCGCGCGTCCCCCACCCCTCCTTGTCCCTTGCTTTCGTGCGGTCAACAAAGAGCGCCGCCTATTTGAGTTTTAGTTGTAAGAGATTCGAGCCAGTCAATTGCTTCGTCTGAGAGTTGGTGATTGCACCCAACCAACCAAGTCACCCACCCTACCAAATCACCTACCCACCCACCCTACCAAATCACCCACCCACCCTACCAAATCACCCACCCACTCTACCAAATCACCCACCCACCCTACCAACCCACCCACTCACCCTGCCAACCCACCCACTCACCCTGCCAACCCACCCACCCTACCCACCCTGCCAACCCACCCACCCTGCCAACCCACCCATTACCAACAAACCCACCCACCCTGCCAACCCACCCACCCTGCCAACCCAGCCACCCTGCCAACCCACCCACTCTACCAACTCATCCACCCTGCCAACCCACCCACCCTACCCACCCTAGCAACCAAGCCACCCACCCTACCAACCCACCCACCTACCCTGCCAACCCACCCACCCTGCCAACCCACCCACTAGCAACCCACCCACACTACCAACCCATTCACCTCACCAACCCACCCACCCTACCAACCTAACCACCCACCCACCCACAAGCACCCGTAGCTACTCCGTAACAGACAATACCACGACTAATACAAAAAACATGTAATTCTCACCAGGCCCCGTGGTGTAGAGTGCTGTCTCCAACTCTTATTGTCCGGCCTGTCTCTCTGGCCTGTCTCTCCACGCGCCCATTGCCAGAAACGTCACCTGCTAGAAATATTTTTTACTTTTAAGGCCACGGTTTAATTGTCGACGAACGTGTGGAGTTTTTATCACTATTGTTATTTGCGCTCCTGCACCACTTGCCAACGCAGCCCGTTAACGTCAACTCTCACCTGGCCGTATCTCTTTCTCTCAGATATCGGGTTCGAAATCCCGGACGAGTTTGTTGTGGGATACGCGCTGGACTACAACGAGTACTTTCGGGACCTCAATGTGAGTTGACGTACACGTGTAATAAAAAAACTAGTAAAACTAAACTTGTTTTTATTTCACCAGGTGAGATCCACTGTGCTATGTAGCTCTGGCCACAATTGATAAATCAACGAAGTGGCTTATCACGTGGAAATTTAACGCGGCAGCGTAATACTCTAAACTGAATACTCTAAATACAATGGCAGTGAGGTTGTATCACTCGCACCAACGGCTCTGGGTCATATGGTGGCAACCTATCGGCTCGTTCCCCTCGAGAATCCGGTTTCATGATGGGAAACTGAAACCTCAGTAGTGTGCCGGATCTGACCCCTGAGTCAGCCAACCATTTCCTGTCTACGTCCGTGCGTGGCTAACACTGCAAGTGGCGAGTGATAGCAGAACCGGTCATGGGCCTCGACTGGGTTGACTCGGCCTAAATTGATGTGTAAACATCACCATATTGCCACTAGAGAGACAAAGGCGGCCGGGCGTGGTGCTGGCCACCCACCCACCCCCCCCCCTCCCACCCCATCGTGTGCCGTGCCGGTCTTCAGAGGGAGGTGCTTGTTAACAGTACATGCCCTATCAGTCTGTTAAGGCTATAAGGGGGGATCTTTGTTTTTTGTGCGGCGGCACAGCGATTAGCGCCGTTGGGCTACTTACCCGGCGACCAGAATTCGAATCCCACTCACGGCCAACATCGGTGAGGATTATCTGACGGGTCATGGGCCTCCGCTGGGTCGACTCGGCCTGGAATTAGTACCTGGTGCGATGAGTAAACATTAGCACTTGGGAGACAAGGCGGCCGGCCGGGTGTGCTGTTGACCACCCACCCCCTCGTATGCCATGCCGGCCTTAATAAGCGTTCGGGAACAGCACTTGTCCCAACAGTCAGTTGAAAGGCTATGGGGGGGAAGGGGATGGGGGGCGATTTTTGTCGTGTGTGTGTGTGTGCCCGCATGCGCGCGTGGCTGTTTTGTCTTGAAGCAACTTTTATTGCGCTTCCTGTTGACTTCCTCGGATGGCTGTTTGCGCGCTCACTTTGTGTCCTGCTTGCGTTTTTCCACAGCACATCTGCGTGATCAACAACCACGGCAAGGAGAAGTACAAGAACAACTGTGCCTGAGCACCATGTGCCAGCCGCCACAGCAGCAGCAGCAGCACCCCGGTCGCCCGCTCGCCCGCACGCACGCCCGCACGCACGCACGCCCACTCACCCCTGCATTGCCGCGACCCGCGTTGGTTTTCAGAGTTGACTCCGCTTAAGGGCGCGACTCTCCCGTCGCGTGTCCCGGGTTGCGCGCCGCTCCGCGTTCGGTTCCCGATAATTGGCTGCCGAGCGACCGCACGCGTGGCTGAAACCGAGTTCGTTTTTTTTTTCTTCTTTTCCTGGAGAAGCAGCCAGAGGGCGAGACGTCGGACCTCGTGCCGAAAACGGAATCGGGCATGACCCGAGGACACGGCGGTGGCGGAGAGCTGTGCCCGCCGCCCGCCCCCCCCACCCTCCCCCCAACCTCGTTTAGATGGCAAGCGGAGACGCTGGATTTGGACGTTGGAGGGAGTTGTATCACGCGGGCAGCTGGGTGGCTTTTACAGAGGCGCTGCTGCCCTTCACATAAACCTCATGGATATTATTATTAAGTTATAATTTGTCATTATAAAGTAATTAAAATGTACGTGTACCCCTCATTGTCAAACTACTACTGATGAAGGCGTTCCCCACCCCGCTCCCCCCACCACCACCGTAGTGTCACTGGTGGTGGGGAGAGAGGGAAGTATGTTTGACCATACTTCACCAAGCTGGTCACCTGGTTTCTTAAGTTTGTGTTGATTATTGTAATATCGTTATTTGAATTCCGGTTGAATGGTTGGCGTGAAGCTCTCTCGCTAGGCACCTTCATGATTCCCCGATTCAGGTCGACTCTCAGGTTCTCGCGATCCACGCGTTGAATCGCTTGTGGGGGGTGCGGGTAAAAACAAAAAAACCCACAGATAATTAGCGGCGTTTCTTTGAGCAAATTCATCCGTCGGCTAATTTTGACCGTCACGACGTTGCGCTTAATTATCGCTTTGTCCGCTCGTGTAATGCGTTGAAGTCTGTGTGTGTGTGTGCTCGAGCCAGTGCTCCTCAACGAACTCGTTGTAGGTAATCGCGGTTTCTCGTCACCCCCTGTAACCACTAGAGGGCAATGGCATTCGCCAGCAAGCTTTTTTTTCTATCCTAATGGAATTTTTTTTCGATTTTAGAACCAAAACGCGGCGCGCTGGCATTCATCGAAATCTTCCCGAAGGGGGGAGGGGAGGCTGAATGTATACAGAGCCCACCACGGAGCTAAATGAATAAAACGATGGCAGTGTGATGGTAAAACTTAAAAAAAGAACCAATCATTTTCTCAATTTGTGACCCATGAATTGAGACAATTCCATCGAATAGATTTGGGGAGTGGGGGGGGGGTGGGTGCTGGAGTGTGTGGTGGTGGGGCCAAATGAATCATCACGTGCCTGGTTATTATGGCGGTGGAGCGTTTCGGTACCAGTGTGTTCCGCACGAGCGGCCAATCGGGGCCAAGCTCGTCGCGAGCCCCCATGTCTTCATTCATCCCCCCCCCACCACCACCGTCCGTCCTCCATGCATTTCAATTATAACAGTCGTCACAATTCAACTCGCAAATCGCTTTTATTTTGCCTTCACCGGTGCACACGGAAACGTCGAGGGTTGTTCTTTCCCCCCCCCGCAAATGGGTCACATGCGTAATCGTCGTGAGTTGTGGTCGATCCACGACCAGGTGAAGGCCGCCCCAAGTCTGCACGCGCTATATCTCGCGGTCCGGCTGCGCAACAAATCTTCTCGCTCTCACGAGCCGGCTCCGTTGTTGGCCGCTAACCAATCTCCCAATTCATAGGCACTCGCTCGCTCGCTCACTCGCGCGCGAGTGTGTTACGTTCATCGTTGAATCTTTACGTTTCCTATGAGGACCGGGCCGTCCACAGCCGTTGCACGAAGTTCACGGGAACCAACGCAGCCGCTCACAGATTCTATGTGCACCGCTAGGGCAACAAAAACAAATCTAATATAATCGTGAACCCCCGAAGCATCGTGGGATTGATGAATCGTGCGTTTCCGCCTGCTGCAAGACATCGGGGCTCCTGTGTTGATAAGATTTCTTTATTTTTACAGCCAAATATTTTTTCACGCTGTGTGTAAAATGGTAACGCTTTTACCGTTTTATGGACGGCGAGGCTGTAAAGTAATCGAGTGAAAGCATTTTATTTTTTAAAGTATATACACATTATATGTAAATGTAATATATACATTGTGTGCGCTTGTGTGTGAACGGTAATTGTGGATGGCAGGGAGCAAATCCATTCAGTCCCCCGCTAGCCGTGTAGGAATAAGCTAAGCCTCGAGTGGCAGGCAGGGACAACCCAGGGTTTCCTGGAGGCCAGGGGGGGCAGAGTGCCAATTGGGGGGCGGGGAGAGGGGGTGTAGCTCCCCTTATTAATTTGTGACTAAAAAGATACAAAGATTGATGTGAGGGGAGGGGCTCTTGTTTGAGGTCTTGGAGGAAAAATTGTCCCCGTTTGCCACGCGGTGGGGGGGGTGGGGGATGTGACGGCGCATCGATCGGTACCGGTCTTTTTTTATGCTCGCGATTTTCACGCGGCGTGGAATCGCGTGCGCAAGAAAACAACGGTCTGCCGGTGTCGTACGTTGCGTACCATCGCTTCACGTGATCTCCACCGGCCACCCCCTGGAGGCCGCTGCATTCGCCGAAACAAATTTAAAATATTTATAATATACACACAAAAGAGTTGATTCTTGAGTCGAATCGTGACCCCGAATTGCAACAATTCACGCGTGAGTTTTCGCGGGAGTACTGAATCGATACACCCCTAGGGTAGTTATCGTATCGGCAATTAGCTGATTGTGGCTTTGGTTCAGTTTCGTGAACGCAGCACAACGTCGCATATCCGACTCGCACGGGGGGGGGGACCAGGGTATAGGCCGGTATGTGAACCGGCAAATTACGGAAACAGCCACAGAAATGTATCGTTAAAGACCGCGCGCTGACATCGCACCGTTGCGTGCGGCGCCGGCGGTGGCGGCGACGCAGCGCTACGAACCTGGCGAGACCCGGGTTCGATTCCCGCTTGCGGCCAATGCCGGTCACGAATGTCCGAAACCGGTCCTGGGTCCCTCCCTGAGGTCGACTCGGTCTCAAATGAGTACCTGGTGCGGCACAGGCGGCCGGGCGTGCGGTGCTGGCCACCTCACGCCCTCGTGTGCCGTGGTAACCTTCACGGGTGCTCGCCAACCGGACTTTCCCCAATAGTCTGTTGAAGCTATACGGTGGGTCTTTAGTTTAAATGACTGGTCAGGGCAGATGTGCAACATTGTACTGTATACCCCGCGCGTTTGCTCTCGAAAAGAAACGCAAAGGGAGAAAGCAATGTGCTGCGTGGGCCACAGGCGAGAGATTTTAATTCGGTTGATTAGCTTGATTTTTTGTATTAAGTCCTCAGGAGGTTTTTGTTTTTCGTCGGCATGTGTCGTGTTTTCCCAAGTATTTTATTTTATCACGCACACTCTCGGACGACCGGTTCGTGTGCGCACGCGTGGGACATGTGGCACCTTCGGCCATTGTGATTTCTCCATTTGGCGGAGCGTTAAAAAAGCAAAGAAAAAAGAGGTTGCATTTTAATCTGTATGCGTGTTTTTTGGTTTGTAAGCCCCGAACTTTAATGGCGAATGATAAATAATATAATGATAATAACCTTTGCAATAAGATGCCCATGATCCTGAAGGCCGGCGTCGCTCGAAAGCCACGCGAAGGATGGGCGGACGGGGGCCTTCCCCGGCGTCTTGTCCCTGCGGGAGACTCGTGAGCGCTGCTACCGCAGCCGGTGCGGAGGGGGACGATGGCGTTCCGGACGGTGGGGGCAAAACGAGCCGGTCGGTTTTCCTCCGGACTCTTCCCAGGTGTTCGCCGCAGAGCTCGCGTGATGATGATCGCCGCCGCTCGGGTTAAATGGTCTGGCGCAGGGGTCGGCAACCAAAGACGGAGTCCTTTTTTTTTCTTTTTTCCCCAATTCGGTAACAAAAAATTCACAAGCCGCGATGCGTGCGATACGAGTCTGTGGTCTTTAAAGAGCCGCATGCAGCTCCGGAGGCCGAGGGTTTGCCGACCCCCACCCCCGGTCCGGTGCACCCGGTACCCGGTCTGGTGCACCCGGTACCCGGTCTGGTGCACCCGGTACCCGGTCTGGCTGTCGCCGTGACCGAATGGCACGACGGCTGCGTCCTCGCGTCGTGCTTGGCCTCGCGTCGGCTCGCCGCGGAGGTGCGTGGTTCGGATCCGTGAGGGTCCCCAACCCACCCACCCCCCCACCCCCCCTCACTCCCCCGGCCCTGTTACAACTGCGGGTGTTGAATACACGGCGCCATTTGCTTCACTAGTGGACGGTGAAAGGTGTCGTGGCGTCATTTGAAAAGAGTAGGCCGTGGTGTGCCGGCGTCACGGTTCCAAATTTGAAAATGTACCTGCGCAACGCTCGGATGGGACCACGCGCAACAGCTCCGCCCCCGACTGCTGAAACTAACGCCTTGCGCTGCATAACTACGGCACGGATACAGAATGATCGAGACCCACCCCGGTCCCCGCCGTTAACACGTCGTCGGGAGCGGGCGAAATTTCTCCCGTTCCATCCCCCCCCCCCCAAAGATGGCTGCGGTAGCGCATTGGTGAAAACATTTTGAGAGCGGGGACCGCTTGACGGGGGAGGAGGGAGAGGTGCGTGGCTTCAAGCCGCCGGAACGACGCGAAGTCGGCTGTGAAAACCGACGTGTACTGCTGCTGCTGCTGCTTCTACCGCGGACCGAATTACCAAAGTACAAACCGAGGACTGCTTGACACGTGGGGCTTGTGTTGCTATAACAGGGTTAGATCCTACACCTGTCCAGTTCGTGGCAGACGGTGGCCACGTTGGTGGAATGTGGCGTGCAATCGGCAAGGTCGTAGCCAAGCCTGCAAGAGAGGGTCTGTCCCAACATTCCAATGTTGGGCCCTTCTGGAACATATTTTGAGTCTTTCCTGGATAAGCAAGCAAAGGTCATTATTATTATTTATGTCGAGCCAAATTGTCTTGCAGCTCAAGTCGGCAAAATGCGGCAGCGCTCACACCTCCGTTGTCGAGCCAATGGTGGAAATTCCATATTCCCGTGGTGGGGACCAGTTTTTCCATACGATGACCGCTTTAAACCTCCCTGCAAAGTAGCCGTGTGTATTTCATTGACGTCGGAGAGACATTGTGCCGAGTTCAGATCTTACCCGGGTTCAAACTCGAGGGTCGAGGGCTGGAACCACTGCGTTCCCCCCCCCCGTCTCCCCCAAACATCGGTCATTAATCTGTAAACTATATATTTTTTTATTTTACCAGGCAAGGCCCACTGAGCTAGATCACTATTTTTTGAGAAGCGACCTGGCCACGTGTTAGCGCAACAAAGTTGCTTATCATAGTGTGGAAATGTATAGCATCCAAATAACTCTTAAACGCGTGATGTTGATTCTAAATACGGAGAGAAAAAGCTGGAGAGCCTCGAGAAAAATCCACGCGACCACGGGGAGAGAGATAGACATGCAAACTCCAAATATACAGCAGGGGTTGGGGTCGGGCATGCTAAACCGCCTTTCAAACAACTTGCGGACCGGTCCCCTTGGCCTCACCGCATTCCTCTACAACAGTGGTGTTTATAACCTTTACCGCAACCTTGCACCCCTAAAAACAAAAATCTGCCCACGTCTCGCGCCCCCCAGTAAGGGTATCTCGCACCCTCCAGGGGCTGCGTGCACGCACCTCCAGATGAAGAACGCCCAGGGGCTGCGTGCACGCACCCCCAGGTGAAGAACCCCCAGGGGCTGCGTGCACGCACCCCCAGGTGAAGAACCCCCAGGGGCTGCGTGCACGCACCCCCAGGTGAAGAACCCCCAGGGGCTGCGTGCACGCACCCCCAGGTGAAGAACCCCCAGGGGCTGCGTTCACGCACCCCCAGGTGAAGTTACCCCAGGGGCTGCGTGCACGCACCTCCAGGTGAAGAACGCCCAGGGGCTGCGTGCACGCACCCCCAGGTGAAGAACCCCCAGGGGCTGCGTGCACGCACCCCCAGGTGAAGTTACCCCAGGGGCTGCGTGCACGCACCCCCAGGTGAAGAACCCCCAGGGGCTGCGTGCACGCACCCCCAGGTGAAGAACCCCACCGCTCTAGAACATCGGCCGTGCTCGTGGCCGCCCAGGTAAGTGCGGCCACGGCTCCAACGACGCCGCTTAAGCCCCCCCCCCAGGCAGGTGCTGCCCCTAAAATTGTCTTGACGAGTTGGCAGCGTCACTGGGGCCGCAGGCAGAAATAGTCGCTGGGCTCAGAGTTGTCCAGCCGCCGTGACGCCGTACGGCGAGTTTTTATCGCCGCTCGCGACGCTTCGGTCAGCATTTCTTTTTCTCTTTTCAATCAACACCGTTGCCGAGCGCAGCCCCCAGCACGTCACGGCGGCCAGCAACGCACTGCACGGGGCATGTCACAAGGACAATTCTTGCCGCGCGGTGCGAAAGAGGGCTGTGCTGCGTGATTGTCGTCTTCCCCGGGGGGTTTGTGGTAGTGGTGGTGGTGGAGGGATGGGCGCAATTGCAACAAGGTCGTTGTGCAATGATTCGCTGCTCGAATTCCAAGCGTGAACGTTTTGTTCGGACGGGAACGTGACCGTGAAGTGTTCACGATTTGGAAGCTGCTCACCTGACCAGCCCTCTTGTCAGTCCGCTGCTGGATGAGGGCCTTCCCCTGTGGCGTGTCGGTCATGGGTGTTTGTTTGACCATACTTCACCACGCTCTTCAGTGATTGTTCGCGAAGCGGGAGATGGGGTGGGGCGGGGTTGGTGAGGGTACCAGAACCAGTGCAGACATCGCTCGCCACTGATGTTAGCCGTGACGAGGAATCGAATCCGGGTCATCGGGTTCATATCATAGCTCGGTTCACTAACCACAGTGCCACCGCTCCCCCACCGCCCCTATTAGAATAGAATCGATTCGACACGTGAACACCTTGGCGGGGTTATAAAGGGAGGAGTGGACGGTGGTACTGCCAGTGTCGTAGCGTTCTCGGCAGGCCACCGGTCAGCCCATCCCGGAAGTTTTTTTTTTTCCAGTAACTCGCACGGATTAAATTTGTATCCATACTTTTATTCGGGTGACCAGGGTGGCTCAGACGTTGATCGCTTGGGTTCGAATCTGGGTTTCAGCCACACCCCCCCCCCCCGTGATTAGACCGGGTTCTCAAGTGTAGTACCGGAGTGAGTGACTGCACACAAACAACAACATTCAAATTCGTTTTGGACTTAATATGGCGAAATCCCAGCTCTTGAGAATTAAAGTAAATACAGGGACTCCTCTACTTACAAACAAGTTAGGTTCCAGATGTCTGTTCGTAAGTCCAACTTTACGCCTGTCAATTGCAAACATGTACGGCATGTACACTAAACACGGGGAATGGCTTTAAAAGTTGTATAATTTTCTGTAGATGCCACTGGTTCTTCATGTTCTGCAGATGTAAAAGCCACTGGTGTTTTCATATTCTGCATATGTATACGCCACTGGTGCTTCATGTGGCATCTACATGAACGTCCGTAAGTCGGCTTGTTCGTAAGTAGAGGAGTGCCCTGCATATGTTTTGACTGTCAATACGACGGCGAGTTCTGCTGTAACAGGATGCGGGCCAAGCGCTGCCGCCATAGCGTGGATAAAGAGGGCCACTTAAAGCGGATCGAAGAAGCGGTTTTGCGATCCGCTGCTTCCGCGGGACAACTTTGGCAAACGCCTGGTTCGTTTGTTGCCTCGCTCCGTCTCCCATTGGCAGCTGTTGTTGCCGGGCCAATTGCAGTGAAGTGCATTGCCCACCTGGGGCAACGTCCGGTTGCTTTGGTTGTAAGGACTGAAAATGTTTTAAGAACTAAACCCCCCCCCCCCCCCCCCCCAAATAGTACACGAGTGGCGTGAGCGTGTGAACGGCGGCGAGTTTAAAAACATAACCAACCGATTCCACGGGTTGTGTGAAAAATAAGAATGTATCTTGATTTGACGCTTCCGTGACTGCAGGAATCCGTACTCTTTGGGTAAAGTCATCACGTGGTTCGAAATGAAATCACAATCAGGACGTTTCGATCGCAGCGATGACGACCGCTTGCGTTGCAATCTAAACGTCGTGATTTGTTTTATTTCTGACTACGTGACTTTACCGAAAGAACCAAAGAGTATAAGGATATATATGTTAATCTTTCTGCCAATGAAACAGATGTTGTGTTAGGATGTTCGAACACCAAATTGATACCTTTTGCAAGGTATCAAGTCTGCATTGACCACACACGGTACTTTGTGAACGTGCAAACACACATGCTCTGTTAATAATAATAATATCCGCATTGTCTTTGAAACTGATTGGTCTACACCAGAGACAGCTTCTTTATGGCCTCGTCCCACCAGTGTCAGGCCACAGACGAACGCCAAAAGGCGAACAGTACAAAGACAATGCACGTGTCAGAGCATTCACAGCTCGGGGTGAGCGCTTATACCATGGGATATCTTTTTTTGCCAGTATCAAAGTATGAAAAATAAGAGTCGGTTTTTTCCCCTTTCTGGTAATAAAACAGGAAGCGTTTAAACACCACCTTGCCCACGGTTGTGTTTAATAATAATAATGACGACGACGTTGGCTCTGGGGTACGAGTGGGACGATGCTCGTGTAGCAAACCTCCCATTGGTGCTTTCACTGAATGGAGGTGGCGACTGACTGATTTTACGTGACCAGGCAAGGCCCCCCCCCCCACTAAGCTGCTCCCTCACTCTTTTTCATAAGCGAGCTGGCCATCACAAACGATGGCAGCTGGACGAAGTGGCGGCTTGTCACCACGTGGAAGTGCATAGCAGCAGCCCAAATACTCTAAAACTCGTGAAGTGTGTGGAGGGGAAAAACCGGAGGACTCGGAGAAAAATCCACGCGGCCACGAGGAGAGAGAGAGACACGCAGACTTCAAATATACAGCAGCAGGCGTCAGGGTCGGGCTCGAACCCATGAATTAAACTTAAACGTTTTAATTTCACCAGGTAAGGGCCCCACTGAGCTACGAAACTCCTTTTTTCAGAAGTGACCTGGTCATCAAAAAACGGTGGCTCGCACGAAGTGGCTTGTCATCATCGCGTGGAAATTTATAGCGGCAGCCGAATACGGAGAAAAATCCACGTGGGGTAGAGAGAGACGCCGCAAACTCCAAATGTCCTGCAGGGGTTCGGGATCGAACCCATGCACTCCTGCATACCAGGCGAGGTAGTTAACATCTAGCCACCGTGGCCAGAAGCGGACGGGGAGGGCAGCGATGCAATGGGCACCTCAATATTCCTTCAGTTACCCAGAGTACTTCATGGTGGCTACTGGGGGGATACGTTTTGAATTCAACACGTTCACTAAGAATAATGAATATTTTAAAAAAAGTTTTTTTTAAAAAACACGCTTTAATGAAATGTACCGTACTAGTAATGGCAGAACTCCACGACTCCAGGAAGTGGCCCCGAAGCTTGCCACGACGTAAGGGGACCGTGGGCAATTACAGCCAACGTCAGTTGAGCGTGGACAATTAGACCCAAGCCGAAACATAACATAACAAATAATGTTTAAAAAGATATTTTTTTATGATAGAATATAGTATTGTCATCAGTATGACATAAGCATACCAAGTTTGCAGTCGATACCACATTGGGAAGTGGGTTAACATTAAGTTACAAGATTTGAGGATACAACAACAACAGACAGAGTGAGTTAATAAAAAGCGTGTAAAATAACTTCCTTTTCAGTGAATGCTCACTGTATGTTGAGGATGTAACGCGTCTTTAGTGCCGACACCGGTGACGCCGCTGTTCGTGGAGGGGGGGGGAGGGGCGTGGAAGTGACGTCACAATGGCGATGTCCCAGAGTTTTTTGATGATCGTTCTAAAACAACACGCGCTGGCAAATAACGTGGAGGAGAGGTGGGGGGGGGGTGGTGGTGGTCTAGGCCCCGCAATATTTCACATCTGATACACGCTCCCACCACCCCCAACCCCACCGTACTTAGGCGATGTACTCTTGTTAGCTCTCAGGACCAACCAATCCGTATTCATACACCCGCACTGCGCATCAATGGAAGCATCGCTCTACGTTAAAAAAAAACGAACATCGCGTGAATGCCATACAATGTCAAATGTATAAGAACAAGATAGGTTTATGTTGTTGTTTAAATACGAGGTCACGTGACGGATGAAACAGACCACGGGGTTATTTGTAAGTGGTGGTTGATGGTTTCGCTCACGCACGCCCCAGCCACGTTCTGATCGGGCCTGCTTCAGTGGCTAAGCGAGGTTATCCCGCCGCTGAGCAACGGAGTACACACAGCGCAATTGCCAGATTCCTCCGAGGGGGTCGTAAGCCAAAGTTGATGTCTGTGCGTGTCTATAATAATAATAATAACAGTCCGTCTTATGTTGTTACTGCCACTCTCTCCCCTGCGCGTTTCGCCGTCTGTGTCGGTGATTGCGGCCACGGCGGCCGTGACCGGACGGGGGTCTTGGCGAGTCGTCGACTCGCGTGTTGTGGAGGTTTGCGGTCGAGGTTAAGTCTCTTGGACTCGGCAGCTTCGTCCTGTAACAGACGACAACATTAGGCCGGAGCGCCGAGCCGGTTCCGCCGCTGACGAGCCGCGAGGACGATGGTCCCTGCGCGGTCATCAAAGTCGACAGGCTTTTGGGGCAAGTTCCGGTAGCGAGTAGCAGCGCCGATGAAGGCCGGCACGGCACACGGATGGGTGGTGGTGTGGGTGGCCAGCAGCACGCCTGGTCGGCTGTTTGTCTCCGCCAGTGGCGATGTTTGCACACCGCAGCAGGTTCTCATTTAGGGGCTGAGTCGACCTAGGAGAGGCCCAGGACCTGTTCAGGTATTCGCTGTCACTGGTGTTGGCCGTGAGCGGGGAAACTCGAGCTAAAATGTGTGTTTTTTTATTGTACCGGGTAAGGCCTCGCTGAGCTAGACAGCTCTTTTTTTTCAGAAGCGACCTGCATGCCACAAATGATCGCTCGGCTAAGTGGCTTCTCATCATCACGTGGGGAGTTTGTAGCAGCCAAAAACTCTTTGACGCGTGACGTTGATTCTGAACGTGGAGGGGGAAAACCGGGGGACCCGGAGAAAAATCCATGCGACCACGATGGAGAGAGACACGCAAACCCCAAATATACGGACGTCAGGCTTGGGATTGAACCCACGACCTGCACGGCAGTTAACATCTCACCATCCACGGTGCCCTATCGAAGTTGGGTCGCCGGGATCGAAGCGCAGTGCGCTAACCGCTACTCGACCACTCCCCGCAATGACTGCACACACAGGCAAAGACAAGGACCCCCCGTGTAGCCTTAACAGACTGTAGGGGCAAGTGCTTTTAGCGAGCACCTATGAAGGCCGGCACGGCACACGAGGGGGTGGGTGGCCAGCACCACGCCCGGCCGCCTTTGTCTCCGCAGTGGCGATGTTTTTACACGTCGCACCAGGTACTCATTTGAGGCTGAGCCGACCTAGGGGAGGCCCAGGACCGGTTCAGATTTTCATCACCGGTGTTGGCCGTGAGCGGGAAGCAAACCCGGGTCGCCAGGTTCATAGCGCAGCGCGCTAACCGCTACACTACCGCTCCCCACGCATGGACACACACACAGACACGCATGGACACACACAGACACGCATGGACACACACAGACACGCATGGACACACACAGGCACGCATGGACACACACAGGCACGCATGGACACACAGACACGCATGGACACACACAGACACGCATGGACACACAGACACGCATGGACACACAGACACGCATGGACACACACAGACACGCATGGACACACAGACACGCATGGACACACACAGACACGCAGAACAACCCCCGTCACGTTCATGTGCGCGGTTTCTCTCTCTGGAAGGAGAGCCAGAGAAACGTGGTGCTCGGGACGCGTTTGAGAGTTGAGCCCCCCACGGATACTGCCGGCAAGACGTTAACCCAATGAAGGATTATTCTCAATCAAAATTACGGTCGATTTTGTCGTATCAGCTGCTGCTGCCGCCGCCGCTGTTCAACGAGCCCAGATAACCAACGCGTCTCAGAAGTGTCATTGGTATTGTTGTTGGGAGGTGTCCCGTTTTCCCCGTGTGCTTCCTAACCACGCGTTTGCTTTGTGTCCGTTGGGTTTTCACTCGATTCGGCATTGAGCCCCGTGCACTGAAACTTGTTGACGTCCACGAGCACTCTTTTTGGCGGACGTGTTAGATCAACGCCGTGCCCACACTGCACGTGGCGAGAGAGAGAGAGAGAACAGCTTGTTTGATTGACTGCAGAAGTAGCTGCCCAAGCGTCATCTTAAGAGCAGTAGCTCTGAGCCGTTACTGCAGCACCCCTTTTCAAACATCGTTGAAGTGGGTCAGCCCTTTAAACCCAAGATATGTCGTAACTATAGAGTGGATTTATCTTATATTCTTGGTTCTTTCGGTAAAGTCACGTAAATAGAAAACAATAAAAATCCACAAATAAAATTTAAATGATGAAATAAAATAACATTTTTTATTAATAATAAAAATACGAATAAGAAATTGAAAATAATAAAATAAACTCGCAGTAAAATAAAAAATCAAATAAAAAAATAAATAGAAAAGAATAAAGTCAAAAGAACCCGCGACGTTTCTGTCCCAACACAAGCGGTCTTCATCAGGCGGAGAGAAAAGAGGGGGCAAGCCTCCAAATGCAGCTGCTGCTTATTCGGGGTTCCACAGTGAGTGGGTGGGGGGGGAAAGAGCTGCGCGAGCAACACGAGCCGCGGTAGCAGCGCGCTAATGGCCATGCCACGCCACCCCCAGAAAGGGCATTTCGCACCCACAGGTCGTGCGTGCACCCCAGGGTTACGAAGAAGAACCACCACTGGCTGCAGAGGAAACAGCTCTGAAAACAGGTGGCGCTCAGCCTGCTGCATGAGCCTCTTCCGTAAGGATGCATGATGTATTTTACAATTGGAATTTTACAAAAAATTCTCCATACAGGGTGACCCGTCCATCGTTGCCGCGCTCATTGCCATTGACGCTTCGTTTCTGCTCAGCGGGCCGTTGAATGCGCGTGATCGCAGTGCACGGCGGGCTTGTTGGACGACCTGGGGGGAAAGGGTTGACGGTATTTCATCAGGAAGTTGGGGGTTGGTGGGAGATGTGCAGAGGTCGAGATATGAAAGTTACTCTGTGGGTTAAGTGTCTCCCCAATGACTTCGTCTCAAGTTCTGTCAGTCAAGGCTGACTTGCTCCTCAGTTTTAGCATCGAGGCATTGGCGCCCATCTCCTGTTCACGGCCCTGCGGTGCCAGTGGTGGAAATTCCGCATTCCCATGGCGCGGCCGAGTCTATCCATAGGACAACCGCTCTTCGTTTCACCCCTCTGCAAAATGTTTGCAAATTCTGCGAATTAAAACAAAGATGCCCGCAGCTTCTCCGTCCTTAGTCCGGTTTCGTTTTTTAAAAAAGTGTGTTAACTTTGCACGTAGTCGTGTCTGCAGCAGTGCAGTGAAGAGCTGGAGCCCGTGTGGCGAGGGTTATGGTTAATGTCCGGTGAGTGT